ATAATAATACTGTAGATATATTATTATTATTATTATGGTAAAGTCAGTATTGATTAATTTATTTTTGTAATTTTTAGACTGCGCTCTGTTGTATCTGGACGACCGTGATTGAATAGCAGCTCGACCCAATGGCCAAGAGTGCTGGTTCTGATGAATAACGGATTTATTATGCGGGTAATTCGTTTTTATTTGTTAATTAAAATTACTCGGTCAGTGTTTTATCTATTGGTGACTACACTGTGTGGTGTGTATTGAACAAAACCTTCCTTTTTAAATTTCGTTATTATGTTTATTTATTCACACATATGAACATCTTTGTGGTGTTCTCGAGTATATATTAAAATGTGTAATTGACTATTGTTGTACAGCAGTTGCAATAATAAAGTATTTATTTTTAATGACAGTAATAATCAATGAGTTTTGTAAATTATTTTATTTTTGCAATTGTTATATTTTTTATTTTTTGTTTGTGTGTATTTGTTGTTCCCTTTATGATTATTTTTGAATTATGATAATTTTTAAATTGTTAATATTATTATGAAATGGCAGTATTAATTTAATTTGTGTTTATAATTTTTAGACTGTGCTACCGTTGTGGTGCCAGGATTACAACTAAACTAAATATTTATGGTAGGCATCGCTATTGAATTTATTGCACGGGTAATTTATTTTCATTTGTCAAAAGATATTTATTGCTATAGACTTTTCTTAAAATAGAGTTCATCTTTATACATTTTAATCAATTTACTTTGCATATTTTAATCATTAGTTTGATTTGTATTTCATTTATTGGTGCAATTTGTACTACATCAGTCTATACAATCTCTCTTTCTATACATATATAAATATATTTTTACACTCATATACATTATATTGTAGATATTTTATTATTATTATGGTAATGGCAGTATTAATTTGACTTTGTAATTTTCAGTCTGTGCATCTGTTTTGTCTGGTTGACTGATTGATTAGCAGCCATCTGACCTGAAAAGTGCTGGCTCTAATTCATAATAGTTGTATTACACAGGTAACTGATTTTGACTTATTTTATTTGAAATAAATTTAATTACTTTGCCTGCTTTAATTATTAGGTCGGTCGGTATTTTATTTATTGTTGATAACAATGTAATGTGTACTGCATTGATCAATAAGATCCAAATGTTTTTGATTTTTTTGTACGTGTATATTTATATTCAGTTATGTGATTATTTATAGAATTGTGTGTAATGGAGTTCATCTTATTACATAAACAGCAATGTAGTTTATATGTATATCTTATATGTTCCCATCATGGTAGTGACAGTATTGATTAATGTGATTTGTAAATTTTAGATTGTGTATGGCCTTTGGTAAAGCTACAAAATTTTCACTTCTGTTGTTGTACTCACAATGTGTTGATAGTTCTGTGCTGTTGGTTTTTTTTTTTAGCCAACGCTTGCTCTCCCTTACTGTTCGACATTCCTCCAAAATGGTAGTGTAAGCTTTTCATTAGTTGTTATCTTGGATTTTATTTTCATTTATATTGTTTACTTTTCAGATCGCATGTCAAACCTCGATTCCATAAGATCTTGCTATTGGACAATGGAGGATCTTCACGATTACTACGTGCTGTCTGCTCTCGGAGTTCATTGAAAACATTTATTCCTTTTTTAATTTACTACGTAATTCTTTCACCAATATTATTGTATTGATTTACGTGTGAGTTTCTCATTAAACTGTATTTTTCTAATGATAATTATATCAATTTGTATTCCAAGTACATTACTTCAAAATGAACGAAATTTTTTTATGTGTGTGATCGAGACAATAAAGAAACGTTACTTTTTTTTTATTTTTAAAAGAAACTAATATTTTATGTTTACAATATTTTTTACCATAGGTCGAAAAATAATAGTCTTGGTGTTTTTTAAACTGATTGTTCTATCACGATTTAAATTGCAATTGTTTATTTTTCTTATTATATCGATGATGAATTAATAATAATTACATTAATGCATTCAAATTATATTTCGAGTACTGTATTTTAATATGAATAAAACCTTTTTTTATGTGTGTTGTTGCACAATAATGAAACATGATTTTTCCTATTAATATTACTTTTTTTATTTGAAAAAATAATAATTTTTTATGTGTGCGATATTTTTAAATATTATTATACATTGAATTTCCGATTTGTAATCGTTTTATTTGAATGACAAACAATTCACTATTATATTATTTTAAAATTTACTAGTTCAAATATTTATTTACTTAGCGAATACTTGGAATATTCGTTTTTGCCTACTCCATTAAATACATTCAACGTACTTTATAATTTCGAATACTCTACTTTAACATGAAATATTAATCGGTTTTAGTGAGTATTCCACTTCTTTATATTTCCCTCCACGAACCCGATCAGCGCGCCTTAATCCGTAAACCATCTTCGTAATCTTCTATTACCTATTCGATACAAGTGACCGTGTCATATGACCGCCGCGCAAATGACATACTGTCGCTGATGCCTTTTTCAAGATTGCAGTTGACCGTTATCATTACCGTATGTCGGCGAACAGAGAGGCAGGTAGTTCGGACCGGATGATCAACTGCCTAGCGTCACAGATGGGATCGGTACTACCTACTAGGCTGAAAGGTAATGAGGGTGGCTTGTAGTCTCAACGACGGTCAGTGTTCAGAACCAAGTAGAAGAAGAAGGACGCAGCATATTCCACCTTTTTATATTACATATTTATTTAGTTATTTTTGTTGAAAATTATTTTCTTAAATAAAGCAAGTTGGTTTGTGTTTGATCATTCACTATAAGTAAGTTTGTTTTTATTTTATTGCATAGAATAAATTTGTCTACAATAGACAAATTTATATATAACACAATATTATTTATAGTAACATTTAGAGCAATTCTAAATAAACTAACTGCATGAGTTAACCTGCGCACAGCTACGTTAGGCATAATTCACGTATTCAGGAAGAAATAATTAGAGTATGGTGCCTTAACTATATTTTAATTATTTCAGTTTTATAGTCATCGTTGTCGGCGCACTGCGGTGGTCGACTGATGTCTAGGGTACTCGTGCAAGGCGGTACTCTACTGTTATGTGTCAATGGTACTCTGTGGATACCACGACATGTTAAGTGCTATTTGCGCAATACTCACAGATTAAGCTACACGACGTAACGCATATAAGTATTGTTTAACCAGCATAGGTTACTCATGCAGTTAGGTTATAACGACATTTGATATAGTTTACATATGGTAGAGCTTCATACTCTGTTTATAATATTTTATGATTACAGTCCATTCACGAGTATTAACATTGGTCATCTTCAGGCCGGAAAACATGTCAGAGACAGCATTTGAGAAGACTGTGAAACGGCGTAATCCAGTTATGCGTCAAATTGAATCGATGAGTTTTTATGTATATGAATTCAACGAACGGACAGAAGTGGGCCATGCTCAACTTAAGTATCGTTATGAAAAATTGCGAGAGCTTCAAGCAGAATTTGAATTAATTCAAAACAAAATTGAAGACATTGCTGAAGATGACGAGCAGTTTGTCATAAGACGTAGTGTCGACGATCAGGTTTTTGAATTATTGTCAGTTATATCTGCACAAATGGGCAATTTTGCTGAAACTAGTTCAGCAAAAGATTGTCAGAGTTCCAGTTCAAAGACAACAACTAATAGACGAGTGAAACTGTCAGTTATACTACTGTCTACTTTCAGTAGACGCTATGATGAGTGTTTAACTTTTAGGAACACATTTCGCTCAATGATTCACGACAATAAGGATAATGGAAAAGTTTCATCATCTAAGAGTGGATCTCAAGGGTGAAGCGGGAAAGGTGATAATGTCATTAGAAACAACTGATGACAACTATTCAATTGCATGGAGTTCAATTTGTCAACGTTATCAAAACCGGCGGTTAATTGTAGGCACTCACGTTGCGGAGTTATTCAAGTTGCCAAAGCAGAAGACGGAAACTGCTAGAGGTCTTCAAAAATTAGTCAACAACTTAAATAGTCACATTCGTTCATTGTCATCTTTAGGACAACCAACGGACAAGTGGGACGCCATATTAATTCATTTAGGGACTAGCAAAATACATGCAGTTACTCTGCGTGAATGGAAATGTACACGGACTAACGACGAGCCGCCAACAATAAGTGAGTTTGGAGATTTTCTCAACAAAAGGTGCTTAATTTTAGAATCTGTTGAGGCGGCTAATCATATTAAGTCCAACGCGGAAACTTCACGGGATAAAATAAAGGAGCCAGAGAGAAGGTGTCAATGGTCAAAGGCACTTGTTGTGTATCTAACAGAGAAGCACAGCCGGAAAAAAGGCGTCAAACTGTGTAAGGGTAATCATTGGGTGCATAAGCGTGAAAAATTAGCAACAGGCACAATTGAAGAGAGAGTTCAACAAATTCGTGAGGCCAGGTTGTGTCTAAACTGTCTTCGACCAGGTCACTATGCTGCATTTTGCAAAAATGGCAGTTGCAAATTGTGTGGGAAGGGTCATAACACGCTTATTCACCGAAACAATGAAGTAGCCCAGGTAGAGAAAACTGTAGCAAATGTAGTAAAAGCTGAAGGCGGATCGGTTCTGCTGTCTACAGCGATGGTTCGTGTGGTAAATACACAAACCGGTAAGTCTTATATGGCCAGAGCACTGCTAGATTCTGGTTCGATGTCTAATTTTCTGGCGAATTAGTTGGCAAATTCACTACAACTCTATCAAGAAAAAACTAATCTCACCATCTTCGGAATTGGTAATTCTTTGAACGAGGTCGCGTTCATAATCAAATTCAAGCTACAACTTCGACCTACAAACAGTACATCATTTGTATTACTGAAGGATGTGACAGATCGTATACCGTTAACGTCTGTTCGATTCCTAGTCAAATTCAACTCACAGATCCGAAGTTTAATGAGCCGAGTCATATAGATTTGCTGATAGGCGCAGAACTATTCTTCACGTTGCTCAGGGGAGATCATGTTACATTATCGGACTCTATTACACGTTGCAAAATACGGTGTTTGGTTGGGTAATTGCGGGACGCGTAAACAGTAATGAAAATACAGAAACAAATATTTAGTGTTTCACCGCGATTACACAGCCAGACGAAGATTTAAACACACTTTTGTGTAAGTTCTGGGAGCTTGAAGAACATAATGACGTGGCGATACAAAACTCAAAAATAACAGTGTGTGACAAAATTTATAGAGAAACAACACGGCGAGATACAGACGGACGTTATGTAGTCAATTTATCACTATGCAACGAAATCCTGAAAAATCTCGGCGACATGAAAACAATGGCAATCCGTCGGTTCTATGTATTAGAAAAACGACTAGAATCCTGTCCAGAGACAAAGGCGGCCTATACACTGTTTATGAAGGAGTATGAGGCATTAGGTCATATGTATGAAGAGACAACCGATAAGACAACATTACCAGAAGCATACTTGCCACATAATTGTGTGATAAAGGCAGAGAGTACTACCACCAAACTACACGTTGTTTTTGATGCGTCAGCAAAAAGTACAACGGGCGTCTCACTATATCAATCAATGATGGTCGGCCCAACAGTTCAAGAAGATCTATTCAATATTCTAATCAGGTTCCGGCTACACTGCTATGTTCTAACAGGGGATATTGAGAAAATGTACCGACAAGTTAAAATATGCAAACCGCACCAGCAGTTACAAAAATTCATATGGCGTGATCGACCCACCGAAACATTAAAGACGTATTTTAGCCATCGTAACATATGGTACAAAGGCTGCGCCTTACTTGGCTGTCCGAACCTTGCATCAGCTAGTCGAAGATGAAGGTGATAACTTACCAGTCGCTGACCAAGCAATAAAACGTGACTTTTATGTTGATGATTTATTAACCGGAGCAGACACACTGTCAGAAGCTAGACGCCTGCAACGTGATGTTCGTTCATTATACAAAAAAGACAGTTTTCTATTACTTAAGTGGTGTGCTAACCATACTAGTCTGTTGAGTCATTTACCAGAAAATCTAAAGGGTACCTTTACAAGTTAAATTTTTCGGTCAGTATAGTCGCCAAGGCACTTGAGTACCAGTGACAGATAGTTTACACCATCGATACTCAACCTGCGGCCTACCAATGGTTTTTATGCGGCCCAAACAGAACTCATTGAATGATAAAAAAATATACATTCAAAACTAATATTATAAGATATAAATAGGTATTACCAAAAAATTTATTTGTGTCGTACACGGTTGCGATAAGTATGATTATTTTTCGGAATTTTTACTTTTAATAACGTTTTTGATGTATTTTGTCTTATCTCTAAACTGGCCTTGGCTAGTATGTAAATACANTTTTATTTGAATCAGTAATTATATATATATATATATTTGTTGTGACATTATGGCAGGCGTATCTTCAAAAAACAAACGAAAAATATCTGAAGAAAATAGAATTTTTCAAAACAGTTGGGAAGAAGAATATTTGGTTGTACCAAATAAAAAGGTTTCAGCTACTTGTTTAATCTGTCGAGAAAGTATTATACTTAAAAATTATATTATTCGTCACTATAATACAAAACACGAATCATTTAATAGTACTCATAATCCCGGATCTTTGATAAGACATGAAAAATTAACTTTTTTCATCATTTTTCATCATATTTTCGTCATTGCAACAACAACAAAATGTTATGTCAGTGGCGGTATCATAAGATGCAGCTGTCACAACTGCATCATACGAAATTTGTTTCATACTCGGTAAGGATTTAAAACCTTTTACTGACGCTGAAATAGTGAAAGAATGTTTTATAAATGCTTCCTCCTTACTATTTGATAGATTTAGCAATAAAAATCAAATAATATCGGAAATTAAAAAAATTCAGCTTTCTGATTCTACTTGAATTAGGCGCATAGAAAATATTACTAAACATATTTATAACCGTATTATTGAAGACTTAAAAAATTGTAAATTTTTTAGTTTAGCTTTTGATTCTAGCACTGATATTTCAGCCACATCACAATGTTCTATTTTTGTTAGGTATTGTACTGAACAAAATTCTATTAAAGAAGATTTTTTGAAATTCATTATAATGAAAAATCAAACAAGAGGCATCGATTTCTCGATGTTATTAGTAATTTTCTTGACAACAATGATATTGATATTAAAAAATTGGTTTCTGTGTGCACCGACGGATGTCCATCGATGACCGGATGTGAAAAGGGGTTTATTTCTTTATTGAAAAAAAAATATAATTTAACAAACACATTGTCTTTTCATTGTATTATTCACCAAGAAAACTTGGCAGCACGCATCTCTATTCAAGAAGTAGATTTAGTAATGAAAAACGTAGTAAAACTTGTGAATTACATTCGAGCAAATGAATTAAATCACAGAAAATTTAAGTCTTTTAGAAGAAATGAACAGTAATTATAGTGACGTTCTTTTACATACTTCGGTGCGTTGGCTAATAGAGGTAAAGTACTGTAAAGGTTTTTTGCTTTACGATTAGAAATTAATATATTTTTGCAAAAAAACAACCAATTTGATGAAATTAAAAATAATAATTGGTGGTGCCTTTTAGCTTTTATGTGTGATATCACAGAAAAACTTAATGAACTCAACCGCGGTTTACAGGGTGACAAAAATAGATTTCGCAGATGGCAAATTAAGTTTTTGCTTTTGAAGAGAAGCTGGAAATCTATCATAAGGAAATAGAAAACAAAATACTGCATAATTTCCCTACCCTTTCCAAATTTATACATGATTATATTATCATTTCTCAACCAAACAATATAATAATTTTAAATCATTTAGCTGCCTTATCCAATGAATTAAAAAAAATATTTCAGGACTTAAGAAGTGTGAAAAATTGCTTTTTACTTGTAGAAAATCCTTGGCACTTAGAAATTAATAGTTTAACACAATTAGCTGCATTAATTGTATCTGATATTTCAAAATTATTTGATGAATTTATTGAATTGAAAAATGATACAAATTTGAAAATTACTTTCAAAGAAAAAAGAGAAAAAAAACAATACATAGAATTTTGGAATTTAGTGCCAGAAAAATACAAAACCATACAAAAATGTGCTCACTTTTTGTTAACAATGTTCACATCAATATATTTATGTGAAACTTCATATTCTAAAATGAAATATGAATAGAATGTGTACAGAAATCGGCTTACTGATTCACATCTTGACGACTTGTTAAGAGTAGCATGCAACAGAAAACCAGATATATCCAAAATAATAAAGAATATATCTCAATATCAAAATTCACACTAGTTTAAAATGATTATTTAATGTTTTATAATAAATTTTCAAATGTTCTATACATAATATATAAATGTATATATTATTGCGTAGTGGAAAAAAAATAAAAGTTTGAAAAAAGGGGTGTTAAAAAAATATATTTCCGTATATGATTATTATAATTGTATTACTTATCATAATATAAAAATTTACGCACCATGTACGTTTTTCGATCATATAATCATAAATTATTCACTGAAAAAATAAATAAAATCGCTTTAGAATTTAAAGATGACAAACGGTATCAAATATCCAACAGTCACGATACACTAGCTTGGGGCCATAAAGATATCCCTCCCTCTACTTCGAAATAAATATAAATAATCAAATTTTAGCTATCTCTACCTAGTAACCTAATGTAAATTTGTTATAAATAATTTTATTCATGTGTTATATAACTTTGTAAATTTAAAATTTGTGTATAATTATGTAAGTAATTATTTTGTATATCCCTAATTGTTTAAATTGTTACAAATCTGTTAATTTGTAAATGAAATGTTATATATATTTTTAAATGTAAATAAAGAGAAATGTATTGTTAAGTTTACTATAGTTTTATAAAAAAATTATTTTAAATAAAATTATGTGATAAAAATTAAATATAAGTATTTAAAAATTAAATTATTAATAATAATTTTATTTTCTATCCGATCAACTTTTATTAACTATGATAAATATGCTAATGATGTTTTCTATAGTGTTATCACTTGTACAGCCAACTTAACCTTTTCTATGTATATTTGAAATGTCTTGATCATCGCAAGTTGTCAATGTCGGTTGAAAATGCCATGTGTTGTGATTTTCGTATCCACACGTTTAATCCGTGCTGTAATTCTGATACTGATAATTCACCAATGAAGCTTGTTGTTTTTTCTCTTTTACAATTTTTAATAAATCGTAACACGTATGCCGTAACCCGTTCTACTCGTGAAAACCGTTTGAGAATCGTATCGTCCGTCACTTCTGTGCTGATTAAACTGACTTGTATGCGCCGTTCGGGAATAGGCTCTTCGACTTGGGGTTTAGTATTGTTTGGCTATGTGTCTTCTGGATGTGTTAGCCACTGGCCCACAGAACCAACGTTGGTTTTCAGTCAATTATGAGGCTGAAATTCCCCGACTAATAACATCGGCTGGATTATTCTCTCCTTTGACATATAACTACTCACAACCCGCCGTTCAATCATGAATTTCGCCTACACAATTTGCTATAAATGTTTTCCATGATCGATTACCTTGTTGGTCAGTANACACGATTTGCTATAAATGTTTTCCATGATCGACTACCTTGTTGGTCAGTTATCCATGTTAATGCCACAGTAGAATCACTCCATAAACAGCAACGATTAATTTTCACCACACCCTTTAGTGCCGTCTTTACCTTGTCAAGTAGTCTGGCACCCAGTAACGTGGCACATAATTCTAAACGTGGTATAGTAGTGTTTCGTAATGGGGCTACACGTGATTTCGAACATAACAGTTGACAGTACACGATTGAGTCATCGTTTGTCGAGCATATATATACACATGTGCCGTATGCCAACTCGGACGCGTCGCAAAATACGTGGATTTGAATGCCCCATAACGTTTTCCCATTTTGTTATAATTTTTACATAGACTTTTTTTCAAGATTCTCTAAGCATTTTCCGTATATACAATTTATCATTAATTTAAAAAATTCAATTTCGAAAGTCGACTTGGCTTCTGTACATTTTTTAGTATTTAAATCTATATATACCTTCAACCCAGCCGACTGTTCAAATTTTATTAATTTTATTTTATTTTAACCCTTAGACTAGTGGCCTGTTACAACATTCGATAGTGAGGGATATAATTTTTTTTATCATATAAATCTGGAATTAATTTTTTGAATCTAGAACCAAGAGGTATAATATTCTCCAGGCATAAGGGTAAGTCAGAATGATCGTGATGTAAATTCTCACCGTATTCTAGATCTACATCTAAAATGACCCCTCAATTATTATCATCCGCAATTTTTTATATATCTAAATCATTAATTTCATATTGTGTCATCCATTTAAAATTTCCATATGGAAGATGCTGACTCAGTGGAGCACCATACATATTGTTTGCATCGATGTATAATAAATATGTCGATGGTTTTGAAGAATCATAGTCATCGTAATATTTATTATTACTAAGTAAAATTAAAACTATATTAAAAATATTATTAATTTAAAAAAACTAAAAAATATTAAACTCAAAAGCCACAAAAAAATTAATGAAAAGTCGCGGATACGTATTTCGGAAACAATGTTACCATTATCAACGCTAAACACATACTAATTTTTTTGTGGCTTTTGAGTTTAATATTTTTAATATTTTTTAGTTTTTTTAAATTAATAATATTTTTAATATAGTTTTAATTTTACTTAATCAATTAGCCACAAGTGATCAATTTTTATTATATTTTATTATTACCTTTACTATAAGGAGATGAACATTGAGATATTCCCCCTCAAATCTCATTAATTATAAAGCTAATCATTTCAATATCAGTCATCAATTCCAATTTTACCCGGGTAATTCGCTTCATAGCTTCGAAACTTAATCCGGGTAAAGTTATAATAAGATAAGGATCAAGCCCATAGTTTTTTAAACAAGCACTTCGAAAATTTTCAAAAATATCAGCTAAAAGAAAAACATCAGTTCTTAAATGTAAGTCGGAATAATCCCCCAAAGTTACACATTTAAATTTATCCCAAACTTTTTTTGCGTGGACATAATTCTCGTCTGTTACTTCACTCGTATTCAATTAACTACGGAAGGCGGATTTTGGTGGTAACGTGCATTCGTTCAGTACTACATTTATATCAGTTACATACTCGTATGGGAATACACCCTTACGACACATCAACTTAAATTTTTCATCATCAGAATACATTTTCCTAGTTAATTTAAACTGGTCGAGGGTCAAAGTCTCAGCTAATTTTTCTAACGATGATGGCATAAAATTTAAAGAATCAATAAATTTTATAGTAATCCACTTGTCATTTAATATTTTTACACTTTTTTTATAGACATATATTTTTCGTTTGTTTTAGCTATAACTTCTATTCCGTCGTCACCACCAAAAGCGAGTTCCCCATAAATAAAATGTGAATTATAGTTTTGCATATTATGCACAATTACCGGGACAAATGATGGTATTGAACATTTCAGATTACAATCTCTATGTGCTGAACCTCGATACTCACCCGTTAAGTGACAGTGATCCATAACCTTCTCATGAAAGCGTAGATTACCATTACAAATGTGGCAAGTGACTGCCTTATTATAACTATATTCTTGTTGTGTAATTAAAACTTCTATGGATAGAGGGTTAGAATAAATGTCACTTATACGGATAATATCTTCTCTAAGTCTAGAAATAAACACCTTCATGCAATCACCCCCGCGATATTCCTCCATGCGATTCAAATTTTCGTCATAAGAACATTTAATTAAATAAGAAAAACTATATGGTTCATGGGCTGAAATTCTATTTGAATATGAATTAATTGGATTAGGATCGCATGTAGCAATAGATGTTAAAATACTTTCAAAATCTGCGTAGATTACGTATTCCACAGGGAATTGCATATGGAAATTTTGAAATTGAACTATGTTTTTTGGGGGGGTTGGTAGTATTGTTTTTACTTTCATACAATTATCTTGTTAGTGAGAATTTAACTTATGTTCAGAAAAAAAAAAATAAAAGACAGCCATCGCATAGAAATGTACGTGTCTTTTGTTTAGAAAGCTGCGTAGTTACTAACCGTTCCATGTTAGAAATACAACAAAAATGTCCGAAGGGTTTATCATTTTGATCTAAATATAATAAATTTACGTGTTTGCGGCGTTTATTTTCGGTTAAGTGCAACGGTCTGGAAATTTTTTCGTTGACATAAGTGTAAACATTTACACTTATTTCATTCATTTTTTCAAATTTTTTAATAAGTGTTAGTGCCAATGGGAGTTTTTAACACAGTGTTGTAATGCGGATATGACTCTGGCTTAGTCGCATCTACATAACGTGACTGAACCGGAAATAAACCCGCAGCCACGGCCCAATAAAAACAGTCTTGTTCCCTACATTTAACATAAACTATGGCATTTTTGCGCTATAATTTTTTTGGTATATCTAAATAACACCCACCCCTCATTGGATCATATTTAAAAATATTAATATCCAAAAAAAATATTGCACTAAAAACCCATCCGCTCCCACGCGTTTCATCCTCTCCGGACTTTTTTTGCAGTAGATGTGTAATAGTAATAACCCATTTGGAATACTACTTGATTGCGTTGAAATAAATGGTAGAATTGATCGATTTTGAGTTATAGTAGGTATATCTACATCATCCCTATTAATATTAAATTTTTTATAAACAGTTACTAGATCTAGTGAAGTTTTTATAGCTTCATGTGTTAATATTGCATTTTTCCATACGTTTATGAAATCTGTAGTTTTTTTTGGATAAATTGTAAAATTGAAAATGAATTGTTGTTCTCTATTCTATGTACACATATATTCCCCGAAAATATGGATTCGATTTTATTTGCGTTGCAAGTTTCTGTACAATCACCTAAAATTTTAATAAAACTAATAAAAAATTATTTTTTTATCATCACGTTTATATCATACTATTTTTTATTGATTGATTCGATTGATGCACACGCTTAATTCCCGTTCCAATCATTTTCTTATTTTTACCTGATAATATAATGTATTTTAATATATATTATCTATATAAATTAAGTTAAAAATTTACTTTAAATTAATATACTTACATTCATCAGCGTAATCAATATCTTATGAATACTCTTCGGTGTCTAAAAATATAAATATTCAGGTATAATATTAACAATTAATTTTATTATTATTATCATTTATATTTACAGTTTTCAATATCGTGTGGGTAAATGGGAATTACTTCCACCTCCATCGAATTTACATCCATTTTTTTCGCAGCCTCCAACACTATAATATTAACAATAACAATAATAATATTTATAAATCTATAATTTAGTTAAGTTATAGGTCTTACAAAATTCATTATCATCATCATCATTACTATTAATTTTTGCTTTGGTATTCATTGAATTAGTATCAATTGTTTGCGCTACTTTACACACTATTAATATAATAAAAATAATAATATTTAAAAATAAATATTTTCACTCTTTAATTTCAACTTACAAAATTCATCATCACTATCCTGT